TAAAGTCCCGGCCAACAGTCTTTCAAGAGACTTCACAATTACAGACCTCTATCAGGCTTGGAGAGCTGCCAGGCCAATAACTTCCAAATGCCACTCTGTAGCAAACAATACTTGGCAAGGAGTCAGGAACAGATCTTCACCCTAATGAATTGAACTAATTGTCTCCTGCAAACACAGCTCCTCATTTGCTCCTCTTTATTCCCTATGGAAGGGGCCATTCACCTGTGCCTTTACTCCTGAGTTGACCCTTGTTTCTTAGCTGTTCCCTTCTCCTGGAAGCTTTGTGCATGCGCACACTGGGAACAGGCTCCAGCTGTTCTTCTTCCCCACTGATCTCCGACTCTGAAGGCAGCTGATAACTGTCAGATGGCCCTGGCCCCATCCCTGCCTCCGACGCAGAGCACTCATCAGAGCCTTCCCCAGATTCCAGGACTGGCCCATGTTCCTCCCCAACCTCTTCACTGTCCAAATGGCCACAACAGATCCATAGATTTCACACTAGGCCCCCCCAATGCTGCTTAAATACTATTGCATCCTTCCAATCGGCTTTCAGCGAGAAGTTTATTGAAATTGAATGAACAGATAGTCCTCTACCTACAACAATTCATTTAGTGACCGTTTGAAGTTACAACAACCCTGATAAAAGTGATTTATGACCGATTTTCACACTTAATGGCCAACATCCTCATACTCACATGATCAAAATTCAGATGCTTGCCAACTGGTTCATACTTATGACCAGGGGTGGGATTCAAGTTTCTTAACAACCGGTTCTGTGAGCATGGCCTAATTTGTGGGTATGGCTTGGTGGTCATGTGACTGGCTGGGCATGGCTTGTATGTAAATATTGTAAATATATATGTAGAGATTGAATTTTTTATTTTTTAAAAAAGAGCAACTTTTACCCAAAATCAGGCAAAGCAGGCAGGCAGATTGAGCTGCTTGCAGAATCACAGCTTCACTCAGAGATCTACCTTTCTGCAATCTGCTGCCTGAGTCTGCGCTGAAAAATAGAAGCTTCAAACCTAAGGAAGGTTCAGCTCTGCTCTCAGGCCACTTCTCCCTCCCCCAATCCCCTGAATACCCCCCTTGACTGGGCCTCAGGGAAGCCTCCTGGGTGGGGTGGGTGTGGAGGGGAGGGGCCAGCCAGTGGTGCGATTTGCTGGTTCTCCGAACTGCACAGAATCATAACAACTGATTCTATAGAACTGGTCCGAACTGGTAGAATCCCACCCCTGCTTATGACCGTTGCAGTGTCATGGGTCATGGGATCTCCTTTGGCGACCTCCTCACAAAAGTCAATGGGGAAGCCTGATTCACTTACGAACTGTGTTACTAACTTAACTGTAGTGATTCACTTAATAACTGTAGCAAGAAAGTTCATATCATGGGGCAAACTTCACTGAACTTGCTTAGCAAAAGAAATTTTGGGCTGAGTTGTGGTCATAATTCAAGTACTACCTGAATAACATTTCTCCTGTTATGACTCTTGCAGTGATCAAGCCTATGCTGCAGGAGTTAAAGAAGCTCCCCCTATACATTGAAATTCAACATAGAGAAAAGTAAAGTCTTACACTTAGGCAAGAAAAACCAAAAGCACACATATAAACTGGGTGAAACCAGGCTTAATAGCAGTAACTGTGAGAGGGATCTTGGAGTCTTAGTGGACAACCAGCTAAATAGGAGCCAGCAGTGTGCAACAGCAGTCAAAAAAGGAAATGCAATCCTAAGTTGCATTAACAGAGGGATACAATCAAGATCAAGTTAGGCACCAATACCACTCTATAAAGCCTTAGTAAGACCACACCTAGAATATTGCACCCAATTTTGGTCACCACACTATAAAAAAAGATGCTGAGACTCTGGAAATAATGCAGAGAAGAGCAACCAAGATGATGAGGGGACTGGAGGCTAAAACATACGATGAATGGTTGCAGGAACTGGGCCTGGCTAGTCTAGGGAAGAGAAGGACCAGGGGAGACATGATATTCCAATATTTGAGGGGCTGCCCCAGAGAGGAAGAGGTTAAGCTATTTTCCAAAGCGCCTGAAGGCCAGACAAGGAATAATGGTTGGAAACTAAACAAGGAGAGATTCAACCTAGAAATAAGGAGAAATTTTCTGACAGTGAGAACAATCAACCCATGGAACAGAAGTTGCCTTCAGAAGTTGTGGGAGCTTCATCACTGGAGGCTTTCAAGAAGAGACTGAACTGCCATCTGTCAGAAATGTTGTAGGGTCTCCTGCTTGGATGGGGGTGGGGGTTGGACTAGACGACCTGCAAGGTCCCTTTCAACTCTGTTAATATGTGTCTGTATCCCTTTTTTAAAATGGAAATTGTGCAGACGAGAACCACAAGCAGAGGAAGAATTAGTTAATGGAAAAAACAAACAAACCCTGGTACAGCCAGATTAAGGGAGGTGGAAGTCATAAAGACATCTGATCGAAAGCCAACCATCGCGCAGAAAGGATGCAGTTGGCACGGCTATGGAATTTGGTCTACTGATCATCCTGCTCTTTTAAAAGTTTACGCCATGTTTCATCACTGCCTTGGTGCAGGATTATGTATGAGTCAAACCCTTCGGTTTGGTGAGCTTCCAGCTTTGGGAGGGCCCAGCAAGCAAGGTGGAAAGACACGGAGAGAAAACAGGGAACAAACTCAAGAACACTTCACGGCCTTGGAAAAGGAACCTGAAGCTGCCTCAGTTGTGCTCAGATATAAATGAGCAGATGAAATAAATGAGATTCAGAGGGGTTCCTGAATTCTGATGTACATTTTGTATTAATGGAAGATTCCTAATGCTTGATTTGGTAACCCTTCTCACAATATATATATATATATATGCGTAATTGGGCTGATTCCTAGCCATTGCACCCGCTTCTCTTTGAGCATGAAATTCCACAACTTTGGGATGATCTTGTAAAATTCAGGGGTGGAATTCTACCGGTTCAGACTGGTTCTATAGAATCGGTTGTTATGATTTTGCACGATTTGGAGAACAGGAAAATCATGACCCTGGCTGGCCCCCACCCCTCTCCACCCACCCCTCCCTCCCCTGCCCAGTCAGTCCTTATTGAGCATGCGTGACATCGCTGACTGCGTTCTCCTCCAACCAGTCACTCCTTAAGGTATTTCTTCCCCCCTCCCGACGACCAGCTGTTCCGATGTTCAGCTGTGCCGGGATCCCCCTCGCTGTGTTACTGGTTCGCCCAGGAGGCTTCCCTGAGTCCCAGGAGGCACAAAGGGATGCAGGGGTGGGGAGCTGCGCACCATTTTTTGCCTTCCTGGGCCCCAGGGAAGCCTTCTGGGAGCAAAAATGCCCAGGAGGAAAAAAAAACCAGGGGGGTGCTGAAAAAAAAGCGATGCCCACCCAGTTACATGGCCACGCCCACCTAGCCATGCCCACAGAACCGGTTGTTAAAAAGTTTGTATCCCACCCCTGTGTAAAATTAATTGTCAATGTCAAAATGCACATTAAGTTGCATATGTTTTATTATGGACAAGCTAAAGAGAGTGCCAAACTGATTTTCAGAGGGCCTGTTTCTGAAACCCCGTTGTTCCTGTCGATTTACAAAAGGCTGCTTTAGACCAAAACAACTCCATCATCCATTCGATTGTGTATCGTATTCTTTCCCCAGAATCCAGCAGTAAGAGCCACTTCCTATTAGCGATAAACATCTCGTTTCCCCTCGGCAGGAAATCAGGGTTTGATATCTTGCCTTGAAGCACTGGAGTCATGTTTGGCACCGATAAGAGGGTAATTCCAAACAAATTTGGTCTGGTCCAGCTACGGGGAGGGACGTGAAGTCGAAACACAGTGGAACCTTTTATAGGGGAATGCACCAATGGCCTGGATGAGCTTTTGTTGAGGCGGTGTCTGAAATGAACTACAGGTGGGGCTGGACTTATGACCACAATTGACCACCACCCCCCCAAATTTCTGCTGCTGAGTGAAACAGTTTTAAGTGAATTCTGCCCCATTTTACGAGCTTTCTTTCCACAGTTGCTAAGTGAAGCACTGCAGTTTTAAGTCAGCAACACGGTTGTTAAACGAATCTGGCTTCCCCATTGACCGTCAGCATTCCAATGAAACTCCCCATTTCATTCAGCACTCAGAAACAAAAGTTCATCCAAGTAAGAATTTATTGAAGAAGTCATACTGGCACATCTGGGAAAAGCCGAATCTGAGAGTTGTGGGTTTTCCCTTCCCCATTGAAAATCACAAACCCATCCCCCGCACCAGAAGTGGTATTCAGCAGGTTCTGACCGGTTCTGGAGAACCGGTGGCGGAAATTTTGAGTAGTTTGGAGAACCGGCAAATGCCACCTCTGACTTGCCCCACCCCCATCTATTCTATTCTATTCTATTCTATTCTATTCTATTCTATTCTATTC